TTCCAGGCTAGTCCATCCTCCCTCTGCTGGAGCCCAAGGAGAGTGGCTATAGCTGATTTTGGGCTTTTTAAAATCCTCGCTTTCTCAGCAGGGATCACTTACAGATAAAACAGCCCTCCGCTGCTGTTTGTGGGCTCTCAGCCCACCCTCTCTTGCCTCCATGGTTCCTACCATGCTCAATTTGGCATTCTCTTTCTGTCCCTGGTTATACGGGTTCTCTCCAGCTGCTTTTCAGGTTTTTTGCTCCGACAATTTGTCTTTATTTTAGTTGTAATTTCAGTTTGGTCCTGAGAGGAGATCTGTGTAGCTTCCATTCACTCCACTGCCATTTTTCCTCCTCCACAATTTTTTATCTTAATAATACTAAAAGATTTATGGTTAGGTCTTCACTGTGGAGTTTTTCCTTAATTACCAAATGACCATCAGCTCATTTAATGCTTTTTGCCTTGAAATCCACATTGTCAAATAATATCATAACACCTGCTTCAGTACTATTTGCACTTGTCTGTAAACCTTTACTCATCTTTTAACTTTATGCTTTTCTGAATTATTTTTTATTGGCTGTTTCATATAGCACATATTTGGGGTTTTCTCCTTTGATCCAGTCTGTGTTTTTGTTGTAAAGGTACATTTACCTGTTAGATTTGTGTATATAACAGACATGTTAGGCTTTTGTTCTGGCATCTTACATGCTTTCTATCTATAATGCTTCCTTTAATTGTTATTTTTTTACTTCATGGTCTGTGTTTCTCTTGTTCTGCTTAGTGTGTATTTTATTTCTCCTAGTTGGGAATTTTTTTACTGTTTTAGGTAATTACTTTTATATCTTTATGTGGTACACATAAACATCTCTATCGTGTATTCCATTTGGACAGTATCTGTTGTTTGCCTCTATGAAAGGCGAGAAAGTGCGCATTAAATTCTTCACATCCCTAAATCTCTCTTCCAAGTGTATAATCTGTTAAATAGACCTCCATTACTTTCTAGCACTGAATATTGCTGGGGTGAAGTTTGAGGCTACCATTAATTTTGTTTTTTGTCCTTTAAGATCTTTTTTTTTCTCTAGATGACCGTGGATATTTTCCCTTTTTTTTTTATCACTTTTTCCTAAGCAGTGTGCATCCTTTTTAAACTGATTATTAAGGCCTTATTTTAAGTTTTCTTAAAAGAGAGAGATAGACTTGAGAGATGGAAATGATCATCATAAAAAGTTTTTTAGAAAGTTTTATTGCTCATAAAATTATTAAAAATACTATTTATGACACTATTTGCTCCTAGTAGAAATGGGGGAAAACGAGGAACAATTATATTATGTAATAATACTGCTGAAATCAGGTATAGCTCTTTGCTTCTCACTACCCTTCATACGACTATGTGAAGCCCTACAAAACAAACATGTCCTTTGAATCTTTTCTTTGAAATTGGCCTTTGAGCCCATTCCAGTGTGATCTCTATTTTTACTTAGGTCTCCACTGACTTTTGTATAAGTAAATCCATAGACATTTTTCAGGCTTTATTTGACTTTCCCTCCTTCTAAAGCTCTGTCTTCCCTAGGCTCCAGTACCACAGCCTGCCCATGATTTTCCTCCTGTCCCTGGTTGCTCGCTCTGATCTCCTTTGCAGATTCATCTTCTATATGGCCATCAGATGGGAGAGTTCCTACAGGTTTAGCCCTAGGCACTCTCCTCTTTTCACATTATGTTCTCCCTGGACCTTCCCATCTAGGTTCATACTTCAACAAACATCTATATGCCTGTGATTCCCTTGTTGGTATCTTCAGTCCAGGATGTTCCACAAAGCTCCAGACTGATGTACCCACCTGGCACTTCCTCATGGGTGTCACTGCCCACATCTCTCTGCCTGGATCTTTATGAGTGTTCCAAATCACAGTGGTGGCTCTACATCTATCCTATTATGTAGATCAGAGTCCTAACATTCATTATTGATTCTTGTCCCTCCCTCACCTCTTGTGTTCAGTCTCATTTCACTTTATCAGAATCTCTAGAATCAATCTTTTTTTTTTCTATCTTCTCTGCACTAGTTCAAGCCACCATGGACTCAGTCTGACCTGAAGTGAGCCCATATCCAGTCTCTGTGATCCCCTTTTGCCCTCATCTTTCCCATGCCCAGTCCAATCTCCTCACTATATTCAATATAATATTTTTCCAAATAAAAATCTATTCTTCCCCCATTTAAAAGTCTTTAGTGGCACCAAGGCAATTCAGTAGAGAAAGAAAAACCTTTTAACAAATGGTACCAAACCAGCTACATTTCCATGTGAAGGAAAATAAAATAAACCTTAATCCCATCTTACACCATACACAAAAATTAATTTAAAAGTTATCTAAGCATAAAACCCAGAAACATAAACCTTCTAGAACAAAACAATATCTTTGTGACCTTGGGGTAGACAGATTTCTTGGACAAGACAACAAAAAAAGCCTTAACCATAAAAGAAACAATTTATAAATTAGACTATCAAAATTTAAAATGTCTGCTTATCAAAAGACAGTAGTAAGAAAATGAATATAAAGCCTTGGGCTAGGGAAAAAATATTTGCCATACATAAATCTGATTAAGGACTAATATTCAGAATACATAAAAAACTCCTATATCCTAGCCAGTTTTGCTTAGTAGTTAGAGCATCAGCCTGCAAACCAAAGGGTCACGGGTTTGATTCCTGGCAAAGGGCACATACCTGGGTTGCAGGTTCAATCCCTGGCCCCAGTTGGGGTCGTATGGAGGCAACCAGTTGCTGTCTCTGTCTCTATCTCTGTCTCTCTCTCTCTCTCTCTTTATCCCTCTCCCTCTTCCTCTCCCTCTCTCTTTTCCTCTCCTCCCTCCCTTCCACTCTGTCTAAAAATCAATGGAAAAATATCCTCAGTTGAGGATTAACCAAAATAAGTAAATAAAAATAAAAAATAATTTAAAATAAACTGGATAAAGACTTGGACACTTCATAAAAGAAGTGTAAAGATGCTCCATATCATTCATCATCAAAGAAATGCAAATTAAAACCACAATGAGATATGTCAACACTAGACTGGCTAAAAATCCAAAAACAGACAATACCAAATATTGGTGGTGATGTGGAACAACTGGAACCCTTAGATTTTTCTGATATGAAAACACTTTGGAGTATTAGTTGGCAACTTGTTATAGAGTTACACATCAGCTCTGTGACATGCCAATGCATGCCTGGGCAGTTATTCAAGATAAATTAAGGATATGTTGATAAAAAAAAAAAAAAAAAATCTTGTACAAGAGCAATAATGGTAGCCTACTTCACAGTAGCCAAAGACTGAAAACAACAAAATGTCCATCCATAGGTGGATAAATGAACAAATTGCTGACTATTCAAATGAAAAGCTGCTCATCAATAAAAGGAATGAATAACTGATACACAAGAACATGGTGAATCTTCAAAACATGGTTGAACAAAAGAAGGCAGACACAAAAAAAGTACATATTGTGTGATTCCATCTAGATAAAGTTCTAAAATATGCAAAACTATGGTGATTGAAGCCAGAGAGACTGGACAGGGATGGGTGGTATTATGCCTGGAAAGGAGCTTAAAGGAACTTTTTCTGGGGTGGTGGATGTTTTGGATTATGAGCACACAGGTATTTACAGTTATCAAAAATCATTGAACTAGGTACTTAAAACTGGTTGTTTTGCCCTGGATGGTTCGGCTCAGCGGTTAGAGCGTCAGCCTGCGGTCCAGAGAGGCCCAGGTTCAGTTCCTGCTGAGGGCACGTGCCTCGGTTACGGTTTGTCCCTGGCCCTGGTTGGGTTGTGCAGGTGGCAGCCACTCGATGTGTCCCTTTCACATCGATGTTTCTCTCTCTCTCTTCCTCTCTCTCCCTCCCACTCTGTCTGAACAAAAAATGGAGAAATGTCTGAGAGCCCACAGAAAAAAAAATTAAATTGTAATTTACATACAAAAACAACCAGTTTTTTTTTTTTAATCCTCACCAGAGGACACTTCCTCCATTTTTTTGTTCAGACAGAGTGGGCGGGAGAGAGGAAGAGAGAGAGAGAGAGAGAGAAACATTGACGTGAAAGGGACACATCGAGTGGCTGCCACCTGCACAACCCAACCAGGGCCGGGGACAAACCACAACCGAGGCACGTGCCCTCAGCGGGAACCGAACCTGGGCCTCTCCGGACCGCAGGCCGACCCTCTAACCGCTGAGCCAAACTGGCCAGGGCTATGTAAAATTATACTTTAAAACAAATAAAAAGACCTTCAATGGCTCTTCAAAGGAATGATCTCCAAAGCTTTGAATGCTATATCCTGCCTATCCTCATCCTACACCAGCTTCTTCCCTCTGACCTTTTCTGCTCTGGCACAATGGCATTTTTTTGAACCCATTATAAACACCAGGGTTACCCCTCCATAGAACCTTTGCATGCGCTATTTCGTCCACATGAATATGCTTCCCATACCTTTTTTCCTAGCTAACTTTGCCTGTGTTTCAGATCTCCATTCAGTTGTTCCTTCCTTAAAAAAGCCCCTCCCCTAAGCTCCCTAATTAAACCAGTCCCTGTTACATATATGTATATCATCGTCACGTACCTCTCCTGTGTATCATAGTTGCATTGCTTATATTTATTTGTGTGGTTTTTTTAATAATTTTTCTTTATTGATTTTAGAGAGAGAGAAAGGGAGAGGGAGAGAGAGACATTGATGAGCGAGGACATCGATTGGCCGCCTCCTGCATCCTCCACACTGGGGATCAGGCCCACAACCTGGGCATGTGCCCTGACCAGGATTTGAACTGGTGACCTCTTGGTGCATCGGTCAATGCCCAACACTGAGCCACACTAGCTGTGCTTATTTGTGTCTTTTAAAAACAATGTCTACTTTACTCACTAATCTGTAAATTGGGGCAAGAACCAGAGTTGGTTCATCAGTGTGTTTCCAGTGCTTGGCATAGAGCTTGGTACATAGTAATTATAGAATAAATGAATAGTGAGTTTGTTGATTTTATTTACAGGAAACGGTGACTATTACTGTAGTGGGAATGATCTGACTAACTTCATGGATATTCCCCCTGGTGGAGTAGAGGAGAAAGCTAAACAGAGTGCTGTTCTGCTGAGGTAAGCGTTTCATTTGTCTGCTCCCAGAGGGCTCATCCATATTCATCAAAGTGGTATTTAGTTGAACAAAAGTAAAACAAATACTTCTTGTGTCAGTGTGATCAGTTGTTACTTAGGACAGGCATAGTTATCCAGACTGCCTCTATCAATCAGTAGGCATTCATCTATCATTTTAACTTCTGTTACCTGTTCATCCTGCTGCTCTACATGAGGTTTGATTGGAAAGCATAAAAGTAAACTAACTGTAGTAAATAAAGTAAATACATTTCTCTCATATTGAGGCAGAGGAATTTAGCAAATTATCCTCCAGCCAGAGGAATGCATGACTTCCATGATTGCTGGTGATAGAAGACTTTGAAGTAGTATCCAAAAACACAGAGGATGTGAGGCTTCTATCTTCCTATCTTGTTGATCCCTACAGAGTCTCTGATTCCTTCTGAGCCGTGACATTGCAGCATATGCTCAGTCAGCCATCCTAATCTCTCAGTCTACAGCTACTTTACAGGCCTGACCTAACTGCCTAGAATATAAGATTTGAACCAAGATCAAATGATAGGGCCCACTCTGTGAGCTGCCATCAAGTGCCATTCAGATGGGTGTCCTGGGTGAATCTGGTGTGGCAAGACAGGGAAGCACTGCTGGGTAATAAGGAACAACAAATGTAGCCAGAACAGTTTGTTATTTCAGGGTACTACTGCTTTGGAACATTTAAACATGCTTTTGTATTTCTATTTCTGTAGGGATTTTGTAGGCAGTTTTATAGATTTTCCTAAGCCTCTGATTGCAGTGGTAAATGGTCCAGCTATGGGGATCTCCGTCACCATCCTTGGGTTATTCGATGCTGTGTATGCCTCCGACAGGGTAAGTTAGCTTCCAGAAACTTAAGAAGTAATGCAAGTAAAAATGAGATCCTGCCCTGGCTGGTTTGGTTCAGTGGTTAGAGTGTAGGCCTTTGGACCCAAGAGTGGCAAGATTCGATTCTCGGTCAAGGGCGCATACCTTGGTTGCATGTTCGATCCCTGGCCCCTGTTGGGGTCATGTGAGAGGCACCAATGTATGTGATCTATCATCTATTTATCTATCTATCTATCTATCTATCTATCTAATCTATCTAATCTATCTAATAATCTCCCTCTCCCTCCCTACCTCCCTTCCTACCTGCCACCCTATCTAAAAATCAATGGAAAAGTATCCTCGAGTGAGGATTTAAAAAAAAAAGAGAGAGATCTTTGGAATTTTCCTTTATTGTTGCTAGTAGTAAACAGATTGCTTATCATTTGTGGTTGAATGGACTTAATTTAAGTTTTTCCTAAAGAATTAATCTAACTAATTTGACTCGTTTTATTTTGAATTTTTAAGCTGAATTTTTCTAAACACTGACATTGTTGTGAACATTGTCTCAACTCTTTTAGCTCTGTATTTTTTAAATCAAATTAAACAACAATGATTCAATTTTCATATTATTCTAAAATAGTCTGGAGACCTTGAAAGCTTGTTGGGGGAGTGGAGAGGGGAGTGGCATCTTTTTAGTTTTATTTGATACTTTTTTTCTAAGTAAATGAATTCTGGAATTTATTTAGAATATGAATGAAGGTGACTTTCCAGCATTATCTACTTTCATTTCCTCCTTTCAGATAAGAAAACTGAAACTCAGAGACGTTACTTGCCCAAAACACAGTTCAGTCTTGTGTTCACCATTGAATTATATAGATTTTAATTTCTGTTCTTATTTCAGTAGCAATATATGTCACAGTAGAAAATAAAATTTTGAAAAATATAGAAAAGTACAAAGAAAAAAGTTAAAAATCATTTATTATCTTACCACTCAGAGATAACCAGTGCTAACATTTGAGTTATTTAGTTTAATTTAACCATACTCTGATTGCTGGAACCCTTGACTGTTTCCAGTTTTTGTCATTATAAGCAAAGATGTGATGAACATTCATCTTAGAACTTTTACCCTAGAACTTTTTTGTAGAACTAGTAACCACTTCTAGTGTTATCTGATTTTTGAATAACACTTACTTATATGATGGTAAGATGTGCTGGTCTGCAACCTGGAGGAAAACTTGTGGCTTTTACTACTGATGAGATTCCTGCTTGTATCTGGAGGTGTTTTCTCCACTAATAGACAGGACCATATAATAGGGTCCTTAACTCTTTGGTTGTATTTTATTGGATTCCATTTAACCAGATCAGGTATGTCTAATTCTTGTTAATAATTTTCCCATAATGGGGGCAAATGAAATTCTAGGAGCTACAATGCCTAACCTTTATAGGTGGAAGTTTCTCAAAGGCAGAAATCAATAGTCCTTGGTCACATTCTTTGTGCTAAATGACCAATTAATTGACCTGCTTTGAACAGGGGTGGCCTAAGGAATACCTGGACTGAATTTGGAGGTTTCCTTCTTCACTACTTAGAGGGAAAATATATCATATTTGAATCTTGTCCTGATTCTGCCACTGTATTCCAAACGATTGACACATTATCCTTTTAAAGATTTCTGGGATGTCCATCTTAAGATAAAAATTGGAATTAAAATTGAAACTAGAGAATACATATAGATGTTTAAGATATACTTGATATAGTTAGTATAAATATAAACGTATATTTTTAATGCTAAGAGAGTGCACCCAACTGAATTAAAACAGGTTTTAATTTTAAATTAGGGAAACACACAGAAGAAAGAACCAGTAAAGAGGAATTTTTTTTATAGAATTTATCATGACTAGCTAGCTTCGTGAGTAAATACCATATTAAATGTGGGTTAACATTTAACCCATATAACCAAACTATTCTTTATTATGGGTAATAGTTCCTGTTAATTTCTGTCAGCAAATGGTACATTTTCTCTGTGAATTAATAAAAAGATTGAAATCATAAAAATCTTTGAGTACTCACTGTGTACTAGGCACCCTATTGATGCACAATGTAATAGTCATTTACTGCACACAACAGTCCTGTAAGATAGATACTTACCCCCATTTTACAGATGAGGAATCTGTGGCACAAAGCAGTTAAGAAACTCCCAGAGTCACTACATAGTCTAACACCAGAGCATCAGACTAAAAACCCTTAAGTGCAGCCACTGCTCCATTTCTACATAATACTGATTTGTAGTAATGCTTATAAATAAGTTAAATACTGCTCATCGTCAGCTTTGTATGTACCTGTTTGTGGCCCCTTAGCTATGGTTTTCAGCTTTAAGGGTTTTTTGTTTTTTCAGTATCCTGCTATGTTCTTTAGGCTGTGACTTCTCAGTATATTTTCTTGAATAAGCTTTCTTTGGGGAGAGAAGATAGAGAAGACATCAATCACTTTTTACTTTATATTTTTATTATTTTGATTGATATGCTGCATACATTATATATTTATATCTAACAATATTCATTAAAATAAAAACACCATATCTGATTATGGGAAATGAAGCCTAAATATTCTGTTTACATATTGGCAGTATTCATCAAGAAACAGACAAATATTTCTGAAATGTAAAATAACTAAAAAAGATGTTTTTCAAATAACTAATATTGAAATAGTTTCTAGTATTTAAAGCCGATCAAAAAAAGAACCTCTGGAGCCCAGCCAATGTGGCTCAGTGGATTGAGCGTCATCCCATGGACTGAGAGGTCTGGGTTCGATTCTCAGTCAAGGGCATGTACTTTGGCTTTGGGTTCAATCTCTGGCCCCAGTCTAAGTCGTGTGGGAGGCACCCAGTCACTGTGTCTCTCTCACATTGATGTTTCTCTATGTCTCCCACTCTATCTTAAAAAATCAATGGAAAAATAAATATCATCTCGTGATATTAAAAATACAATTTAAAAAAAAGGTAATCTAACTTGAAAATAGTGGGCAAAGTACTTGTAATAGTTACTTCATCAAAGAACATATACAAATGACTAGAAGGTACATGAAAACATGCACATTATTAATCATTAGGGAAATGTAAGTTGAAATGATAGCAAGATACCACTGTATACCTACTAGAATGGTTAAAGTTAAAAAAAGGCTGATAATAAGATTTAGTGAGGATGTGGAGCACTTGGAACTCATACACTGCTGGTGGGGACATCAAATGGTACACCACTTTGGAAAATAGTTTAGCAGTTTCTGATAAAGTTAAACCATACATTTACCACACAGTCAAGCAATTCCACTTCTAGGTATTTACCACGAAAATTGAAAACATGTTCCTGCAGATACCTGTACACAAATGTTCGTAACAACCTTGTTTATAATAGCCAAAATACTATAAATAACACCAATGGCTTCAGCTGATGAAAGGATAAACAAATTATGACATGTCCATACAACGGAGTACTACTTGAAATAACAGTGGACAAACTAATAACACATACAACAACACAGTAATTCTCAAAAACCTTATGCTAGAGACAGAAGCCTACAAAATGACAAAAGGCTTTGCTGTGTATGATTCCATTTATGTAATTTTCTAGAAAAGTCAAAATTTTAAGGACAGAAAGATCAGAGGTAATTTGAAGGTGAGAGAAATGGATGACTGCAGAGGGACACATGGGAACTTCTAGGGGTGATAGAAATATTCTGTATCTTGATTATAATAGTGGTTACATAACTATATACATTTGTTAAAACTTATCAAACTGCATAAATTAAAAGAATGAATTTTGTGTATATAATATCATAATAATCTTTTTTTTTTTAAGTTTCTCAACTAAGTATTGTGAGGATATAGGCAAATAATGATTTTTTTAATCACATACAAAAATTTTCTTTTTACTTTTTTTATCCAAATAGGCAACATTTCATACCCCTTTTAGTCACCTAGGCCTAACTCCAGAAGGATGTGCCTCTTACACTTTCCCGAAGATAATGGGCCCAGCTAAGGTAAACTTTGGAACCCTTAAAAATAAATTTTGATGACTGATCTGTATTCCAAAAGTAATCCCATACTCTCTTCTTTCCCTCAATAATACAAAAAAAAAAAAAAAAGAGAGAGAGAGAGAAGCAAATTATCTGCTCTTCAACTCTTAAGAGTTTTAAATATGAAGAACTAGGCTATGGGAAATGTGTGGTGTGGGGGAAATTAGAAACTCTGAAGCTCCCCAAATCTGGGAAACTGGTCCTTCAGCTGGCTGCAGAGTGCCAGCTGCATTGCAATGGCACAAGGCCTCATCCTCCACAGCTGGGTGACCTTCTTCAGGTGAAGGACTGGGTCTATGCCCACCTCCCTTGATCTGCTAGTCTGGTTCCTCATTTCTTCATTTTTAAGCATCATCTACTGAAAGTCATACAATGACATCTTTACTTTCAGAATCATGTGAAGTACCAGCAGATGTGAGGTACCATGAGGGTTTCCCACTTCTAGTCACAAGAGTCTTTTTAGCAGCGTATCAAGGCTCCTAGAGTGGTTAAGTGGCTGCTCAGATCTATCACTATGTTTACGGAAGCATAACTGCCCATGCTTTGTGTGTATACATGGCTCCAAACAGATCGTGACAAGGTCAGAGACGGGCATAGGAAAAGGCTTAGCAAACATTCTTCAAGATCTGAAAGGGGAAGTAGTAACTGAGCCTTTTTTCATTGCTATTAGGGTTTTGTTATAAACATATATTTTTTTAAGACTCTTTATTCTGTCATATAGCCAGAATTGTTATAGAGATTTTAACCTTGAAACATTGGGCAGAACTAACCCTAAAGCTTAGAGCATTTGGCTGTGAAAGTCTTACTTTTCTGGAAGAGAAATTTCAAGTGTAGAGAAGGATATATACTTAGTGATCTCAGTTTTGTTAGAAACTAAATATTAGTCTATTCACTTTCCTTCAGTCAAATGAAAGTAATTTGAGTACCTGTGCAGGTAAAAGAAAACCATCAGAGCTTGACCACTGGGTAGAATTTTCAGGGAAGGGAATTTTGAAATTTAAGGACTCTAAAGGTCAGTTGACATTTCCTATGACTGTGACATCTTCTTTTTTTTAACAATTGTTTATAGTGTATAAAACAGAGAATTGTAGCTTCTGTGGGTTATAAAATCAGCATCTGCTTTAGGTCATTTCTAAATGGCTCCCTGCTGTTGTTGCCTCTCCAACATAGACACACGCAGAAGCAGCGACCCCTACAAACCTTCTAGAGAGCCTAAGAATGGTCTCAGTACATAGTTTGCAAACCATTGCCTATTGAGGTAATCAGTTTCTTCCTTTGAAAAATACTAGCAACCTCAAAAGACCATAAGTAAATTTCCCTATGTCAACTAAAAGCAATTCATTCTGAAGTTAACTGAACCTCGTTTCATTAAGTTACTTTCCTAGTCTTGCTTTTTATTTCAGGCAACAGAGATGCTTATTTTTGGAAAGAAGTTAACAGCAGGAGAAGCATGTGCTCAAGGACTTGTTACTGAAGTTTTTCCTGATAGTACTTTTCAGAAAGAAGTTTGGACCAGGCTGAAAGCATATTCAAAGCTCCCAAAAAATGTAAGCTTTTTTTTTTTTAACTTGTATAAACCATGGAAATAATTTATTTCCCTTAAGAAAATAAGCAATAAAAAAAAAAAAAAAAAAAAAAAAGCAAGATATAGCTTGGATGGCTTTATGTACATCTAAATTTGAGATTAAAAATTACCATAATAATGTTAGCAATACTGATTTTTACAAAACGTATCGGATAGGCATTTCATTCCTATGATATGAAGAAGGCATAGGGGCAATTCTTTATTGGGATAACTTTGAGGAGAATGATAGGCAATATTTGCCAAACACTGTCAGTGTTGAATCTAGGTGAGAAATCAGATAAGATAGGTTAACTTTTAGGAGATTCTTAATGTAGCACTTTCATTTATTTATTTATTTATTTATTTATTTATTTATTTTTTTATTTTTTATTTTTTTTTATCCTCACCCGAGGATATTTTTCCATTTTTGTACAGATAGAGTGGGAGGGAGAGAGAGGAAGGGAGAGACAGACAGAAACATCGACGTGAAGGGACACATCGAGTGGCTGCCACCCGCACGACCAACCAGGGCCGGGGACAAACTGCAACCGAAGTACGTGCCCTTAACGGGAACCGAACCCGGGTCTCTCTGGACCACAGGCCGACGCTCTAACCGCTGAGCCAAACTGGCCAGGGCGCACTTTCATTTTTATATGTGATACCTAGTGACTGGTTGCTTTTACATTTTGCTGCACAAAATGTGTTCCTGGAACCAGAAGCTTTGGTATCTATCTAGGGTGATTTGTATGCACATTAAAGTTTGAGAAGCACTCACTTATATTACACATGTATCTTAATGTCTAACCAGATTAAATGAACAGTGGAGAAACAATCAGAATTTTAGAACCACATTCTATTAGAATACACCTTATTGTTGGTTTTTGTTTTTTTAGGCCATGAAAATTTCAAAACAGGTCATCAGAAATATGGAGAAAGAAAAGCTACATGCTGTTAATGCTGAAGAAAGTAGTGTCCTCCAGGAAAGATGCCTTTCAGATGAATGCATAAATGCGGCCGTGAACTTCTTATCTAAAAGGGCAAAACTGTGATAGCAAAGCTAAGCATTCCAAAGGCAGGAATGTGCTATGACTTTGATTTCCAATACTTGAACTAAATGAACTTCACTGTGCCTTTTTTCAGTGATGAAATATCATTTATGATGATTATATTTCACTAGAGCCCTAATTAAAATAAAGCAAATTATGTAAAACAAGCTTTATAATTTACATAGGTTTTATGTTCCACTTCTTACTCATGGAAGCATGGGAGCCTCGTGGATCCACGGTCCTCTGAACCCCAGATTGCCACCCCTGCTCTCTCCATGTGCTGGCCTTGGTGACCCCAACTACCACTCCCACACTGCCCAGGAGCCAATTGATCATGTAGAATTTGATAAACCCTTACTAGTCATTCTCTACTGGGGTATATTTTTGGTTGGCATGGTGACTGGAGGTGTGTTTAGTGTCCAGTAACAAAACTGGTAACATCCTGCATGCCAGGGACAGTCGCACCCAATAAAGAATTTCATTCTGGAGGGATAGAAGGGGTGGAAAGAGATAAACCAAAGAACTTATACAACCAATCGACATAGGCACTAGGCTGGGGAAGGCAGGAAGGCGGGTGGGAGTGTGAGGGGGGTCAATGGGGAAGAAATGGGGACATCTGTAATACTTTCAACAATAAAAAATAAAATGCACATGCCACTATGGAGGGCTAACAAAAAAAAAAAAAAGGAATTTCATCCAGAATACCCATAGTGTTTTCCCTTCCTTCATTGAGAAACTTGCTAAGCCTGGCAGTTTTAGAGTTTCACATCTAATTTTCAATCCCCACACAAAATTACCCAAATCAAAAGATGCATTTTCAGAATTACAACTACTACCCAATATGAATTTTGTAGGTTTGTGGCATTTATCTTAAATCCCCACTGTGGAAATAGTTTCTTTCCTGCTAGGAATGCTGATGGACCACAGCAGTCTTGAAAAAGAAGGACAAAATAGGTGGGATCACAATACCGGATATCAGGTTATACTACAAAGGTACTGTAATCAAAAAAGCCTGGTACTGGCATAAGAACAGGCAGATGGATCAATGGAATAGAACAGAGAACCCAGAAATTGACCCAAAACATGCTCAATTAATAGTTGACAAAGGTGGCAAAAGTAAAGACAGCCTCTTTAATAAATGGTGTTAGGAAAATTGGACAGCTACATGCAAAAAATGAAACTAGAACATAACTTACACCATACACAAGAATAAACTCAAAGTGGATAAAAGACTTAAATGTGACCTGTGAATTGATAAAAATCCTAGAAGAAAATGTAGGCAACAAAATTTCAGACATACACAGCAGAATGGTCACTGATACATCACCTAAGGCAACAGAAACAAAGGAGAAAATGAACACATGGGACTACATCAAACTAAAAAGCTTCTGCACGGCAAAAGAAACAACCCTCAAAATGGAAAGGGAACCTACTGTATGGGAGAGCATAACTGCCAGTGATACATCAGATAAGGGGTTAATTTCCAAAATATGTAGAGTGATCATACAACTCAATAAAAGGAAGACAAAAAAAATCAAAAAATGGACAGAGGAGCTAAATAGACACCTCTACAAATAGGACATACAAATGGCCAAGAGACATGAAGAAATGCTCAACATTACTAATCATCAGAGAGGTGTAAAATTAAAATAACAATGAGGTATCACCTCACACGTGCCAGAATGGCTGCCATCAACAATTCATCAAACAAGTGCTGGCGAGGGTGTGGAGAAAAGGGGACTCTAGTACACTGCTGGTGAGAATGCAGACTGGTGCAGACACTATGGAAAACACTAGGGTGTTTCCTCAAAAAATTAAAAATTGAATTGCCATTTGACCCAGTCATCCCACTTCTAAGAATATATCCTAAGAAGCCCAAAACACCAATCAGAAAGAATATATGTACTCCCATGTTCATAGCAGCACTATTTACAATCACTAAGATCTAGAAACAGACCAAGTGTCCATCAATAGATGAGTGGACAAAAAAGCTGTGGTACATATATACAATGAGATACTATGCAGCTGTAAGAAAGAAAGATGTCATTCTTTGAGACCACACGGAGAGACCTCGAGAGTATTATGCTAAGCAAAATAAGCCAATCAGAGAAGGACATATACCACATGATCTCACTTATTTGTGGAATATAATGAACAAGGTGGGCTGATGAACGAAATAGACCCAGAGAGAGAAAGGAGTATGGTTCAGACTGACAAATCTCAGAGTAGGGGGTGGGGGGGATGGATGACATGAACCAAAGAACTTATATGCATGTATGCATAACCAATGGACATAGACAACAATGCTGGGGGGGGGGGGGGAGCCTGGGAGGAGGGGAAGGAGAAACATCTGTAACAAAATAAATTAACAAAAATTGGGGGGGAGAATGCTGGTGGAAACTGTGAAGCAGTTAAATTTACTTTCCTGATATACTGATGCCACGATAAAATTTTAAAAATCAACAACATTGCAGTAGCTACAATTCTGCAAAGTAGCCAGGTTAATTTATAAGGTGCTTTTTGACTTCCAGAAAAGATGGCAATGTAGGTAAACGCAGTCTCAGCTTTTCCCACAACCACATCAAAATTACAACTAAACTACAGCACAACCTTCATACAGAACTGCCTGAAATCGGCCTACCTCAAGAAACAAGAAAAATTTCTAATAGACTATCTAACCTCACAACTTAAAGAATTAGAAAGCAAACAAAAACAAAACCCCAGAGCAAGTAGAAGGAAACAGTACAGATCAGAGCAGAAATAAATGACAGAGGCCAAAAAAACAATTCAAAGAATCAATGAAACCAAGCTGGTTTTTCAAAAAGATAAACAAGACTGATGGACCCTTAGGTAGACTCACCAAGAAACAGAGAGAGAACTCAAATACACAAAATCAGAAATGAAAGAGGACAAGTAACAACTGACACCACAGAAATACAAAAGATTGTTAACAACTACTATGAACAATTATATGGCAACAAATTCGACAATCTAAGCAAAATGGACAAATTTCTAGAAATACACAGTCTCCTAAAACTGAATCGGGAAGAGATAGAAAACTTGAACAGACCAATAACAACTAAGGAAATTGAAGAGGTAATCAAGACTCTCCCAGCAAACAAAAGCTCAGGCCCAGATGGCTTCACAGGGTAGTTTTACCGAACATTCAAAAAAGAACTAAAGAAGTCCCCATAACTTTTGGCTGTAAAAACCAGCAGGAACTGAGGCTGAGAGAGACTGAGGCTTCTGGAGCCCCAAGCAGCTCCTTTAAAGGGCCCAAGCACAAACTCACTTGGATTTGCTCCCTCTAAGCTCAGAGGGGAGGTAGCATGAAAGGCACCAGAGATATACAGGGAAAAACTGAGCTGTTTGGCCTCAGGACAAGGTCTGAAGAGACACCTTTATCCCCGACAGACATCCTGGCGGAGGCCTTTGTTCCTTCGGTGAGCCCTGCAGATTGGTGCCATATCTGGGACTCCAGCAACCTGGCTCACAATGTTTGCCCCACGCTGGTGATTCCCTGAGGTTTCGCCCCACCCAGCTTTCAGGCCCACCCAAGCTGTTTGCAAAGGCTTTACCATAGGATTGGCCTGTTTGGTTTTTTTAATTGGCCTGTTTTGGGTCCTGCTTCAGATTTTCCCCCACACCTCTCATTAAGTGGCCCCAGGCCTGACACTAGAAGCAGCCAGCCTTGGTTCACAATTTGGCTTTGCCTGGGCACCTCCAAGCCCAGCACAAGAAGCAGACATTGGCAGATCACTTTGTAGTTTATGCCTGGTGGCCCCAGTTAAAATACAGGCAGTGGCTGACCTTGCCCCAGAGCCAGCATATCCAGTGGGCAGCTTCAGACCACATGGAGACACCACCACCCAACCACCTCCACAATTGACACACTCAAGGAGTAGACTCGGTGGGTACAAGAACCCTACTGAAGTAAATCTTGCTCTGTGTGGTGGGCCCCTACATAGCTGATCCTCCAAGGTAGTCAGAGGCCAGTGGTCAGTGGGCACAACCAGTCCTTGCAGCTGATCAGCCTGACTAAATCCCTCCCATTGACGTGCCAACAGCAATCAAGACTCAATTACAACAGAAGGGTTTACAGTTCACACTAGGGGTGCACCTTGAGGGCCCAGCTGGAGTGATCAGGGAGGCTGTGCCACTGGATCCTACAGGACACCAACAACAATAAGCCACCCTATGAAGCCTAGGAGACATAGCAACTCTACCCAATACATAGAAACCATCACAGGGAAACAGCCAAAATGATGAGACAAAGAAACATGTCCCAAATGAAAGAAGAGAACAAAACTCCAGGAAAATTACTAAACAAAATGGAGATAAGCAATCCATCAGATGCAGAGTTAAAAACACTGTTTATAAGGATGCTCAAGGAACTTAATGCAAACATCAATAAACTTAGTGAGAACATCAACGACATAAAAAGGGACCAGTGCCCTGATCAGTTTGGCTCAGCAGTTAGAGGATCTGTCTGTGGAACAAGGAGTCGTGGGATCGATTCTGGTGAAGGGCACAGGGTTGGGTTCATCCCTGGCCCTGGTTGGGGTCATGCAGGAGGCAACCAGTCGATATGTCCCTCTCACATAAATGCCCCCCCATCTCTCTCTCTCCTTCCATCCCACTATATCTGAAAAATAAAAAATAAAAAATATCCCCTGGTGAGTATTTAAAAAAATAAAAGAACCAGTCAGAAATGAAGGATGCATTAACTGAATACAGAATAATTTACAGGGAAGCAACAGTAGAGTAGGTAAAGGCAAGAAGCAAACCATTAATTTGGAATATAAGGAAGCAAAAAAACACCCAATCAGAAAAGAAAAAGAATCCAAAAAAATGAGGATAGTGTAAGGAGCCTCTGGGACAACTTCAAGCATGCCAACATTTGCATCATGGGGGTGCCAGAAGAAAAAGAGAGAGAGCAAGAACTTGAAAACCTATTTGAAAAAATAATGACAGAAAACTTCCCTAACTTGGTGAAGGAAACAGACATACAAGTCCAAGAAGCACAGAGTCCCAAACAAGATGAACCCAAATAGGTCTACACTAAGACAAATCATCATCAAAATGTCAAAGGTTAAATACAAAGAGAGAATCTTAAAAGCAGCAAGAGAAAAGCAGTTAGTTACCTACATAGGCGCTCCCATAAGACAGTCAGCTGATTTCTCAAAAGAAACTTTGCAGGCCAGAAAGGAGTGGCAAGAGATATTCAAGGTGATGAAAGGCAATGACCTACAACCAAGATTACTCTATTGTGCAAAGGTATCATTTACAATCCATGGACATATCAAGAGTTTCCTAGACAAGAAAAAGCTAAAGAAGTTCATCACCACCAAACTAGTATTATAAGAAATGTTGCCCTGGCCGGTTTGGCTCAGCGGTTGGAGCGTTGGCCTGCGGTCCAGAGAGATCCGGGTTCGGTTCCCGCTAGGGGCATGTAACTCGGTTGCAGTTTGTCCCCGGCCCTGGTTGGGTTGTGCGGGTGGCAGCCACTCGATGTGTCCTTTTCACATTGATGTTTCTCTCTCTCTCTTCCTCTCTCTCCCTCCTGCTCTATCTGAACAAAAAATGGAAAAATGTCCTCGGGTGAGGATAAAAAAGAAATGTTGAAGGATCTTCTTGAAGGAGAAGAAGAACAAAAATATGAACAATAAAATGGCAATTAATACATACCTATCAATTGAATCTACAAACAAAATGAGCAAGCAGGCCCTGGCCAGTATGGCTCAGCGGTTAGAGCGTCGGCCTGCGGTCTGGAGAGACCCGGGTTTGGTTCCCGCTAAGGGCACGTACTTCGGTTGCAGTTTGTCCCCGACCCTGGGTGGTCATGCGGGTGGCAGCCACTCGATGTGTCCCTTCACGTCGATGTTTCTGTCTGTCTCTCCCTTCCTCTCTCTCCCTCCCACTCTATCTGCACAAAAAATGGAAAAATATCCTCGGGTGAGGATAAAAAAAAAAAAAAAAGAGCAAGCAGAACAGAAACAGACTCAAATACTTTTTGTTGCTTGCCAGATGGGCAGGAGCTGGGGGGGTATGGGTGAAAAAGATGAAGGAATTAAGTAGTACAAATTGGTTGTTAGATTGATGCACCTCAAAGGGAAGGGAGGAGGGAAGGCAGGATGAGAAAAACCAAAGAACTTTTATGCATATATGCATAACCAATGGACACTGGCAATAGTGTAGGGAAGGCAGGAAGGGGGCAGAATTGGGAAAGAGGGGTTCAATTGGGGAAAAAAGGAAGGACATTTATAATACAGTCAACAATAAAGATAAATAAATAAATAAATAAATAAATAAATAAATAAATAAATAAATAAAATAAAATAAAATAAAATAAAAGGTGCCCTTTTCCCACCCATCCCACCAGTGTGACTCAGTGGACTGAGCATCGCCCATGGACTGAGAGGTCCTGGTTCGATGCCTGAGTTTCATGCTTGATCCCCAGTAGGGGGGAATGCAGGAGGCAGCTGATCAATGTTCCTCTTCTCCCTTCCTTTCTCTCTAGAAAGTCAATAAAAATTTTAAAAAATAAAAAGAAATGGGGAGCGGACATTGGGAGAGTTCCAAAATGACTTTTATGATTTCTGTAACACCATGATACAAATGACTATATTTTCAGAGTTTTTATTGCAGTAGTAAGCATTTTGTGAAAGATCATTTTAAAAGTTACTCTGAATTAAACACTGATACTTCAAAAAAAAATTAATACACTAGACTTGTTGCAGCCTTTTGAAATTAACAATCTCACCATATCACATATATAATAGAGCATAATTTTTCTATAATCATATACCTTTTGCTGCTTTTGAGTGAGACTGCTTTTCTGCTTAGATTGTGAGGATTGCCAGAAAGAAAAACCTGTTCTGTTCTTTTAACTGTAGCATAACCTAATAGCTCTAGATGCAGCATTTCTGTGATAAAAAATGAGTGTCTACCTGGAAATCTGGAGGACTAGCTATATTTCCTCAGATTCCAATGTGTAGTTTTCACTCTTGCCTGTAAGGAGCTTTCTGGCATGTGATTATTTACTTCAAAGTAAAGTTTCAAGCATGTATATTATTTTACATCATGTGCAGAATACATTAAAATACAATACACTGCACATACTACTTTTGCACTATTTGAAAAATTTTGTACTAAATAGAAATTATATTCTTTGAGTGTTAGCTTTAAATAGATGGTATTATCACATTATTGGTTTTTAACAAAATTTTTTTCTCAATTATTTTATTACAATGTTATTCGGAGCAAATCCTATACCAAAATCTTGTATAGTGTTTATATGGAAGATTAAATTTTGCTCTTGTGTAGTAAGACTACTCAGTTCTTGACTTTATAGTTGAAATTTGGCATTACAGTATCAAGTTCACAGTGTATTCAGAAATCCAAGTTAGTGACATACATTTGATTTGGATGTGAACTTTGCTTTCCTTTGTTTTAAAACTCCATTTCACAATAAACATTTTACAGTAAAGAAATAAGAACTTACATAGGTTTTTGGTAACAGGTAGTCTTACATCCTTAGACATGAATCGTTGTTGCCAGGAACATTGCAACAATGTGCCAGGGGTCCTACTTTGAAAAGCACTCACAGCATTACAAGCTGAAGTCATGTTCTCAAACACCACTATAGCACTTTGCCGTCCACAGAGATTGACTGACTTAATTGGCCCAAACACTGACAGCCTCTGGATTACTGACTGAAGATCTTCAGTGGGTTGCGTGTTCTTTTTCAGCCATCTAGCAAGGGAGCAAATGGAAGCAGTAGTATTACCAGAAAATAAATAAAAACCTTAGTTTTCCTTTTTTCCCATAATTTAATAAAAAGGCATGAAGGAAAAATTGGGTTACTTCATTGGAAAGCAGTGTTCTGTATCAGTAATTATTTCCTTATTTATTATACAGGGTGGAGAAAAAGTAAGTTTATAGTTGTTCATATGGAAAATAATGCAATAACTAATTAATAATACAAGAATAAACTTTCACATACTCACAACTGTAAACCTACTTTTGCCCCACCCTGAATAGTCTTCTTTCTTATTAACTTGTTATTTTATAAAAGCCATACTTACAAGCTGCTTTAACTGTCCTTGAAACTCTCTTTTGATTACTGCCATTTGTATCAACTGGAAAGGATGAAGGTATAATTTCGGTGGCTGCAAAACTAGCATAAAATACTTTGCTTTTCTAAATATCCACCTGCCTTTAACCTTCAAGCACCAGCATCTAGGTAGCCAACCCAATAAACCTGTAACTTTCTAGTTCTTAATATTTTTATTTCAGTAATACTAATCCAAAATTATCACTCTTATAAAACATATATGAATACTAATAACTTAATGTTTATTGAGCACCTACTGTCTGGTACTAGTACTTAATGCCCATAATCACATTTTATTCCCTAAAAACAATGCCAAAAATTAAAAATGAGGTAGAGCCCGGCCGGTGTAGCTCAGTGGTTGAACGCCAACCCATGCACCAAGAGGTCGCCGGTTTGATTCCCACTCAGGGCACATGACCAGGTTGTGGGCCAGATCCCCAGTGAGGGGCATGTCGGAGGTGGCCAATCAATGTTTTCTCTCATCGATATTTCTCTCTCTCCAAAATCAATAAAGAAAAAAATGAGGTAGGTACTGTTGCTACTACCATTTTACAAGTAGGGATCCAGAGGCATAGAGATTTAAGTAGCTTTTCAAGGATCAAACTCCCATTAAGTGTTGCAGATTTCCATGTGTCGCCATGAGCCAATGCCCACCTATCCCACTAATTTCAACTAAAACCTCTTAACAAAAATATGAAAAAATTACTTGAGGATACTGACAGTGAAAGCACATGGATTGTGTTGGGGCAACAGTATGGAGAAACATCTGCACAGGGAAGCATCAGACTGTGGAAAATTAGGTAACAATTGCTGAGATCTCTCTGCTGAGCATGTGACTTATGCTTCAAAGGCAGACCCCCATTGTGGAGCAGTGCAGTAGTGGCCATGATGTGGCCGGTTAAATGACATTTGAGGTAAAGAACAACATCTTTCTAACTAAGTATCCCTTAGGGGCTAAAGTGAGTGAGAAGAGAATCTCAGAGCAGACAGAAAAAGACCTTTCCCTAGTTCTGTGCAGGAACCCACACAAATGTCAGGTTTATGAGTGGGACAGACTCAAGCAAACATATTATAGTCTTTGAAAATTAAACTGGCATTTAAGCACCGCCCACACAAGATCAAGAGAGAGTGTGTAGTCTGACCCTAAACAAGTATGTTTGGTTTTTTTTATCCTCACCCGAGGACATTTTTGCATCCATTCTCAGACAGAGCAGGAGAAGAAAGGGAGAGAAACATCAATTCGAGAGAGACATATCGAGTGGTTGCCACCCACATGACCCCAACCGGGACAGGGGACAAACTGCAACCAAGGTACGTGCCCTTAGCAGGAACCAAATCCGGGACTCTCTGGTCCGTGGGCTGACACTCCAACCACTGAGCCAAACCTGCCAGGGTACCTAACCCAGTTTTTAACAACATCAATATTCTCCAAATAATTTAAACAGGAGCCAAGAGCCATGCAACATAATATTTACAATGTCCATGACACAATCCAAACTTATTTGACATAAAAAGACCATTATAATGTGAACACTTTCAGATGACAAAAGACAATACTTGTCAATCCTGAGATGACCTAAATGTTGGAATTGTCACATGAAGCCTTTAAAACAATTCTTATAACTGTGCTCCATAATAAAGAACCACACACTTGAGGAAAGTGATGTAAGATCATGGTAGAGTGAGAAGACTCCTTTGTATCTTCCCTTAAATTTACAAGTAAACATCTATAATCCAACAAAGGCTCATTTGCCCGACACACAAACACATCTGAGAAATCCACACATTAGTACATCTGCAGGTGGAGGAAGCAGGATGGGAGGCAAAATGGGGATAGCGTCTGTAGAGGCAGTTGGCCAGCTGGTGCAGTAGCAATGGAGGAGTCGGGGTGCGGCCCTCACACTGCAGCTCACACTATGGCTCAGCAGAGGACAGAAACAACATCAATGCCCAAGAAGCCACACTCCCTCCACCACTGAAGAAGCACTGAACAACACAAAGGTGCTGGAAACCTTTAGTAACAAGTAGGCAGTGCTGCAGGCTCATGAGTCTGGCTCTCCCTGCCCTCCACATCCTTCCACCATGGAGGTAGTGCCCTGAGACCAAGGTGACCTGGACCCAGTGGGGAAACCCACAACTCCATCACCCATTAGTCAATTTCCTCACAACCTTGGCAGCGCAAGTAACAAAGGTAAGAGAAAACAAAAACATGCACTATATCATCACCTACTGGAAAACAAAAGAAAAACCTATAATTATCAACTTGCTGAGTAGTTAAAATCAAAACAGTAACCAAATGAAAGCCCAGTACTTCAAATGTGCCAACAGAAGAACAATACATCAAGTAACATGGTAACACAGAAAGAAAATGACAAGTCTCCAGAAACCAAATTCAAAATCATGAAAGACGGTGATTTAAATGACAGAGAATTCAAGATGGCAGTTTGAGGAAACTCAATGAGATACAAAATAAACTCAGAAAGGTGATTCAATGAAATCAGGAAGAAAATTAATGACCAAAGGAATACTTTACCAAAGAGATTGCAACTATAAAAAGAACCAAATAAGTTCTGGAGCTGAGATGAAGAGTACATTAAAAGCAATGTAAACCAAGAAGCTCAGATGGAAGAGAGAATTAATGAGCCTGAAAACAGAAATCTAAGACTGACTCAAGTAGAAGAGAAAGAACTAAGATTTTTTTTTAATGAACAAATTACAAGAACTATCTGACTGTGTTAAAAAGAACAACATCAGGATAATGGGTGTCCCAGAGAAGAAGAGAGAGGAAAAGGAACAGAGAGCATATTGGAAGAAATAATTGATGAGAACTTCCCAAACCTGGGAAAGAGGTGATCATTCAAGTGCAACAAGCTAACAGACCACCTAATTATCTCAATGCAAAAATACCTTCTCAATGTAAAAACACATTATATTAAAACAATTAAAAGTTAATGATAAGGAAGGAATTCTCAAGGAAACCACGGCAGGAAAGACAGTATCCTACAGCCCGGCTGGTATGGCTCAGTGTTTGAGCATTGACCCATGCACCAAGAGGTTGGTGGTTCGATTCCTGGTGAGGGCACATGTTCAAGTTGTGGGCCAAATCCCCAGTGTGGGACATGCAGGAGGTGGCCAAATGATGTTCTCTCTCATCAATGTTTTTCTCTCTCTCCAGACAGTATCCTACAAAGGAAACACCATCAGATTTCTCAGTAGAATTCCTACAGGACAGGAGAGGGTAGAATGATATATTCAAAATATTGAAAGAGTGAAAGAAACCACCACCAATAATAATATATGCAGCAAATTACCCTTTGGATATGGAGAAATAAAGGCTTTTCCAGAGAAAGAAAAGATGAGGGAACTTATCACCACAATACCTGTATTACAAGAAATGTTGAAAGGAGTTCTTCTACCTGAACCAGAAAGAAAAAAAGTATACAAATTTTTGAGTAAGTTGACAGACAGTCAGTCAGAAGCAGGAAAAATGCAACTCTATTTCAGAATAGGGTAATAAACACTTAATTATGACATAAAGGTTAAAGAGAAAAAACATCAACAGTAACTACAGCTACCACAATTTGGTAACAAATGTACAACATAGAGATAATTTGTGACAACAAAACATAAAAGAGAAGGAAAAGAACTAAATGTGTATAGACAAATAAAGATAAGATGTTATCAAAAGAAAAAAAAACTGTTTTATCTATGAGACATTTTATATAAATTACATGCCAACCATGAAACAAAAATCCAGAGCTGAGACACAAAACATAAAAAAGAAGAAATGGAGAAAAACAGCACAAAAAACCAACAAACTAAAATATCAGACAGAAACATGGTGGAAAGAAACAATGGACATACAGAGCAACCAGAAAACAAAAGATAAAATGGCTATAGTAAATCCTCATATATTAATAATCACCCTAAGTGTAAATGGACTAAACTCACCAATAAAGGCACAGTGTAGTTGGATGGATTAAAAAAACAAGCCCCAGCCGGGTTTGCTCAGTAGTTAGAGCATCAGCCCACAGACCAAGGAGTCACAGGTTTGATTCCTGTGGAGAGCATGTACCTCAGCTGTGGTTCGATCCCCAGTCCTGGTTGAGGTCATGTGGGAGGCAACCAATCAATGTGTCTCTCTCCCATCAATGATCCTCTCTCTCTCTCTCCCCCTTCTTTCCTCCCTCCCACTCTATCTGAAAATAAATAGAAAAATATACTTGGGTGAGGATTAAAAAACAAACAAAACAAAACCCAACCATATACTGTCTTCAGGAGACATCTCAGCTCCAAGGGCAAACATAGAGTCAAAATGAAGGGGTGGGAGATGATACTTCAAGCAAATGATATCTGCAGAAAAGTGGGTATAACCATACTTATATCAGACTAAATCAATTTCAAGACCAAAAAAAGGAACAAGAGCCAAAGATGAGCAGTTTTTAATGATAAAAAAGAAAATACATCAAGAAAACACAAGAGTTATTAATAACGTATGCACCCACTCAAAATATATACAGCAATAATCAAAAGACATAAAGGGGAAAATTAACAGTAATACAATATAGTAGAAATTTTATTGCCCCACTAACACCAACAAATAGATCATCTAGAGTCTAGATTCTAGACAGATGTCAGC